AATCCAACAAAAACTAACTTTTTGAAAATCCCGAAATATTCAAATAGCCAATACCCAACAATAACTCCGCCATCTCGAATCGTTGAATCATCAACATTCACATAGCCGCGATAACATATGAAGTAGGAGGTACTCAGCAGCCAGATGGTCACCATAAAGTGACCTGAGATGAAAAACATCGAAATCACGATGATATTTGAGCTTTTTATACGATTCAACAACTATTGTTCAACCCTAGTTTTAGTATTGTAAAAGACAAGTTTTGGTCAGCATGTTTTTCGGTGAGTATATATTTACTAACATCTATTGGAGTTTCATCCGTTTCACGTGAAGTGATTTGAAATATTTTTCATTACTGTTTTTCATATCACTAGAGTGAAACTCCATTATTAATATTTTTTAACAGAAAAATTCAATTTTCCAATCCCGTCTCACTGAGCTAGATAGTCAATAACTTCACTTCGAACTCTTTCTGTTACCAACTCCTTATGCATAGCATCATTTAAGGGCATCTAAAAACGGCATCAATTTTACAAAAACTATGCAAAGTTCACTTTCACTCGAAAATTTTCCATAAAAATTCGGCTAAAAGTGTACAGAAACCAACCAAAATTTTTATAAATTCTTAAAAAAATTCTCGGCATTTTTTCATTTTCTCATTTTCATCACAATAACAACTTCTTCACACGAACATTCAAAAGAATGCGATAAAAAAAACAACGGCAATATCGACTGCCACTTCACTTTAAGAAAAAGTGAACACTACTACACCTCGGAGATGAAAGCATTCGTAACGGTCTCGAGTTCTATTCCCAGCATCAGCATTTTTAACTTTTTCAACAATTTCGGCCGATACACGGTTTAAGAGAGCAGGGTGGAAAAATATGCACATGGTCATCAACTACATGTGTTGGTGAAATGTGCGGAAAATTCCGGAATTTCTCATTGGTTTCTGTACACTTCTACCCAAATTCGATTAACTAGTAAGGAAACTTCTGGGCTCAGCTGAGGAAAGCGAACATATATTCCAACACTGCATGAAAATATTTCCATATTTTTGACCCTACCGAACATTCTCGAAAACTCAACTGGTAGAGATATGATTAATACCAACTAATACACAGAAAACACACAAAGTGAAATCACATGCTCCGCTCGCTTCCCAATCAGCGAAAATCGATATAAAAAATTGCGAAGCGAGCGGAGCACATACCGCAACAACAGGAACTTTCGCGTTGTGCGTGCGTGCAGAATTATTCTGTCTTAACTACGAATAGTGGGAGGCTAACAGATAGATCAAACGACTCCTCTGAATGCCGAGGTGTAGGCGAAAACGAAATGAAGAAAGAAGAAATTCCCTCAAGTAAATTGTGAAATATATTTTCAACTAGTGCTCCTCATATAACTAGCGTTAATATGTGATAAACTATTGTATTTTATCTAGCCATAATATATTGACATATTAAAAAAACAAAGAACAAATCGGAAAACTCGATTATGCGAACAGCTCGAAGAGATATGCACGGAAAACTTTAATGACGGAAAAATGTCCTACCCGGGGATCGAACCGGGGACCTATGTCAAATTCATTGGTCGAATCAATAGACGTG